TGCGGCGCCCCGCCCCTTGCGGCGCCCCGCCCCTTGCGGCGCCCCGCCCCTTGCGGCGCCCCGCCCCTTGCGGCGCCCCGCCCCTTGCGGCGCCCCGCCCCTTGCGGCGCCCCGCCCCTTGCGGCGCCCCGCCCCTTGCGGCGCCCCGCCCCTTGCGGCGCCCCGCCCCTTGCGGCGCCCCGCCCCTTGCGGCGCCCCGCCCCTTGCGGCGCCCCGCGCGTGCCCTGGCCTCAGAGCGCAAAGTGCTCGCTGCCAAGTGTCGGTTAACCCCGTGCATTTCTATGAAAGGGACAAGACTGTTTCGGGTCGGGGATAAGTACCCGTAGTACAAGCCCGCAAATATTTCGTTCAGGACATGTGTTCGTTCGTACATGTCTTTTGGGCATATTAATCCTATTTTTAAAATAACCCTTAACATGCAAGTCCGTTGGTCGCCTGACAGCTGTACACCATCTTCCCTAGTGCCTGAGCTCTCCTGTAGGCCTCGGCCAGGGCTACCATTAGGGGGACCACGGGGCGCTCAGGCCCTACATTTCCCTTCGTGTCTGTCAGCAGCAAAGCCGCTAGGTCTCCCAGGAAGAGAAAGGGCGTGGCCGCCTTGCGTCGACCTTCTGTCCCGCCCGCGACCGGGACTCTGTTCGCACTTGTTTCCCTGGGCGGCCCTGGGGCGGCGAGGGCTGGGGGAGCGTGCGGGCGAGGGGGCGAGCGCCGGCATCTTAACTGGGGTGCAGGGGCCACCTTCAGCGATGGTCCGCGTGCTGCTCTCCCCGCGCCCCCAGCAGCGCGCGGCAGGCATCCATGGCGTCCACAGCGCCCTCTAGTGGAAGGTCGGCTTGGCGCGGCACAGGCCCCGGTGGACCCCTGCGGTCCCAGTCAGCGGAAAGGGTTCTCCCGGGTGAGGACGCGCTGGTGCCAGAAGCAGCCCGACAGGGCCCTGCAGGCGCGGCCGCGCTCGCCGCACTGGTAGGCCTTCTCCCCGGTGTGGACCCGCTGGTGCTGAACGAGGCTGGAGCTCTGGCTGAAGGCCTGACCGCACTGCTGACACGCAAGGGGCTTCTCGCTGTTGTGGAACCGCAGGTGCGGCGTGAAGTGAAAGCTCTGCACGAAGGCCTTCCCGCAGTGGCCGCACGCGTAGGGCTTCTCGCCAGTGTGGACCCGCTGGTGCTTCACCAGGTCCGACTTGCGGCACTGGGGAGGCTTTTCCCTGCTTGGAGGCTGCCACTGCTCCAGGATGTGGGCCCCTCACGGGGCGGCCTCGGGGCGCACGGCCCGGTGCAGTGCTGCTTCGCCCGCCGGGGCTCCCCACGCCTGCTGGATTCTGAGCGGCTCCTCCAGCTGGGTCGCAGCTACCCGGGCTCCCTCCTGCGCGGTCTTCCTGGCGGGTCACCAGGCTGGCTTCCTCGGGACTTGCCTGGTGCACGCAGGCCTTGTGTGGCAGCCTTGCCCGCCCCTGTGAACCCCGATGGCTTCTGCACGGCCCGGCAGGTCCCTGGACCTGTGGCCCGGACCTCAGAACCTTTGTCCCCGGGACACCCTGCGGTTCTGCCCGGAATCTGCTCCTCACTCTGAACTCCGTCCTCATGGTCTGAAACCAGAAAGGGAGGCAGCAAATGACACCAGACTCTGAACCAGAGCACGGAGAGACTTCGACAAAGGCCGCATCATCTCATTTAAATCAGCGGGGCGGGAAAAAGGAAATTAGGCCCCCTGTCTGGGATGGGGTTATGCAGGGATCAAGGTCAGGGAGCGGAAGGGTGTTAGGACACAAACTCCCAAAACACTCTTAAAGAAAAAGAAATCTGGGAGCGCTCCTAACCACTTCCAGTTTGGTGCTCTCTGATTCCAAATGATTTTTGCTCAAAAACTCTTAAAGTTAAGACAAAATTTTAAAAAAAGAAAAGAATTCTGTTAAAACCTGTCCTCCTTGAGGACTAGCCTTCCATTTCCCCTGAGATCCGGGGCCTCGCTGATCCCTGTGGCAAGGCAGCAGCGCTGGGCGGGGGGGGGGGGGGGGGGGGGGGGGGGCGCTGGGAACAGCCCGAGGAGGCTGCACACTGAATGACAGATGTTAAGGTCAGGATCTGTGGCCCAAGGGACAATGACTGGGGCTCGAGAGGGGTGTACCATGTCCCTGGGTCCCCGCCTCCGGAAGAGGAGAGCCTGGCCCGGTCCCCTCGGCAGGCAGAGTGGGGGTGAGGTCACAGCGGGTGACAGCGCTGCCATCGGTGAGATGAGGATTCGTGCTGATCCGTGGAGAGGTCCTGGGGAAAACACAACCCAGCTGTGCAGATGGGGCCGTGCCCAGAGCCAGATGCTCTCCCCAAGGGCACATTGGCCTGGACTTAGCAAGGTGCACCTGGACACTCCAGGATGAGCTTCTCTGAAAGGGAAACCCGGGCTTTCCCGGGATTTTCAAATCTTCCAGCGGACTCCCTAAAATAAGGAGTGGGAGAAGCATGGTTTGGGAACCTGGCCTGTGGCCGTCCAGGCCCTGGGCCCAGCAGGCCGGGGGCGCCCTCTTCGCGCACGGACGAAGCTCGGGCGCCGGGGGTCGAGGCCGCCGGCCATGGTACCGAGAGCGGCAGGGGGCGCGGCTGGCTGGTTGTGCTGACGGCGGGAGGGAAGGCCTGAGGGAGCCGGGCGCGACGCCGCGTCCCCCGCCGGCCCGGCTGCAGGGCCCAGCGACCAGCACCGCGGGGCCTCTCACCCACCGCTCCCCGGGCCCCGGCGGGAGAGCCGGAAGCGCGCGCCGCGCCCACAGGGAGCCCCGCCCCGCGCCGCGCCGCCGGCACTTCCGGGAGCTCTAGGAAGCTCAGGGGACCCTCTCGGGGGTCCCCGCGGGGGGACTCGCCCAGGGGAGCCGCCGGGGGGAGGGCTCCTGGGGCGGAGTTCCGGGTTGAGGCTCGGGGGACCCGGAGAGCCTCAGGGCCGTGGACCTGCGCCCGGAGGCGTGCGCACGTCCCTGGAGCTGTCCGAGGTGCTGGGCTGCACCGCCGATGGGGCCTCGGAGAAGTCGGCGAGGCAGAGACCTTGGGAGGGAAAGAGCAAGGGGACCGGGCGTGTAGGGCCAGGAAGGCCGTAGGAAGGGCTCTGGGGAGGAATGACGCACGCTGGCTTGGACTGAGGTGAGAACATTACCGTCCATTGCTAAGGCAAGTCCACAAACCCTGCGACCAGCTGAGGGAACTGAGTGCTTAGAAAAGAACCGCAGCGGGGAGATGGACCCTGGCCTGACCACTACCTTCAGATCCTGAGGGTTCTTCCTACCAGTGAGTACAGCCAGGCTACGACAGGCCCAGAGGGCAGAGCTGGGAGCAGCTGGCGGTGAGAGGGCAGATCCTGGCGCAAGGCAGAGCTGTCCAGCAGTTCGGGTTGCCTCTCCAGGTGGTGTCTGAGTGGGGCTTGGACCACTGCCTATGCAGATGCACCTGCTTTGAGGGACTAGATGATACCGGAGGTTCCCAAGCCTGGCACACTGTCAACTTCAGTGGGGGTGTCAGAACTAAATCCGGATTCCCTGACTCCACCCCAGGCCTATTGAATCTGTCTTCCCTGGTGTGGAGCCTGGGAATCTGTGTTTTTCAGCAAACTCTGCCCCCAGGAGGAGCCTCTGATACTCTTTCCTCAGGGGTCTGGGTCTGGCATAACCCCTCCTTCAGCTCAGAGACCCCTGAAGAACAGTTTGTCTCACTTTCCCTAGTGGAGTTGGAAAAGTCCGGCCAGATCTGATTTAGCCTGCAGCCTTGGGTTTAAGAGATAAAGTCAGGGGATCTGACCATTGATACACTTGGGTGACCCCAGTGACTGTTTAACCGGGCATCAGTGCACAGGCCGCCACCGTGCTGCGCACCGAGGACGGAGTTGGGTGTGACGTGCTGTGTGGAAAAGCAGCCTCCTAGATGGGGACGTGCACAGCCCAGAGCAGGTGCTCCGAAAGGGTTTACTGAATGAATGGGATGGAAATAAATGAGCGTAATAAACTATCATGAGGGAGGATGTGTATTTTCCAGGTGGGAAGTGGATGTTAACTTCTGCTTCTGGCCTGTGCTCTGCTGGTTCTTCACATGATGGTCTAATTTAGCGCTCACAGAACCTCGTGATGTATCCCATAGAATCACTATCGCCAATTTACCGATGCAGCTTAGAGAGGATACGGACCTTGCCCAGGTGGCATAGAAATGAGTGGCAGAGCTGGGCTACGAAGTAGAGTGAGTGTCCTTAGAAGCTGGCTGTGGGGAGAGCCGCCTTCCTGCCCACCTGCTTGGGGCACACGGCACAGGGCAGATGAGTCCATAGACCACGTCTTGGCTTCCACCTCTGGGCCATCATTAATCTGGGGTCTCTCAAAGTCCGAAACCCTTGGGATACTGAGGTAGCCCGATATGGAATGTTGCATAGCAACTGAAAAAGACAAGCGCGTGGACAATACTGGTACTGAAAACGTGTGCAGAGGACCTTATGGTTCTGTTTGCTCATCCCAGCATCCTGCAGCCAGCCATGGGTGTGACCTTGAATCAGGCTGAATGACGATCTCTGGGCCACCTCCCTGATTACAGCCCTTGGCCCAGGGACGGACAGCGAGCGCACGAGAGCCCAGCAGGAACCAGCAGAGCCCTTCCCCGGGACGCTTCCCTTACCGTTCTAGTGGTGAAAATAGATACGAATCGGTCTGGGGCTGCTTTGAGCTCTGCTCTGCGTCACGGGGAGAGGGCACATCCGTATCAGGAGGAATGAGGCCAACCCTGTGGCATTAAGTACAGTCTTATCCTTGCTTGAGACGGTTAATTCTATGCGTCAACTGGACGGGGCCACAGGGCGTCTAGATATTTGGTCAAACGTTATTCTGAGTGAGATCAACATCTGAGGCAGCAGACTGAGTAAAGCAGGTTGTTCTCCCTAACGTGGGTGGGCCCCAGCCAATCAGCTGAACGACTGAATAGGACAAAAAGACAAAGTAATACGGAACTCCTGTCTGACTGTTGAGCTGGGGCGTCAGTCTCACTCTACCTTTGGACTTGGACTGAAACACTGGCTTTCCTTGGGTCCTGGGCCTGCCGGTTTTCAGACTGAACTATGCCATCGGCGCTCCTGGGTCTCCGGCATCCCGACTGCAGGTCTCAGAACTTCTCAGCCTCCATATTCTCGTGAGCCAATTCCTAAGAATACCTACCTACCTATCTACCTATCTCTCCAATTGAGTCTGTTTCTCTGGAGAGCCCTAATACATCTTTTTCTTTTTCCTAATTAGAAAACAAATTTGGGGACTAATAGCTTGTCCAACCTTACACTTCAGTGTAGAGTTGGGCTTTAAGTTTCAAAGTCGATTCTCTTAACCATCATGCCACACTGCTTATATCATGTAAAAATAAAACCCCTTGTATCCAACTGAAAAGTGTCCACATTTAGGCCCAGCTTTGTCGTTATTTCCCGACTCACAGGCACACGCAGCCCGCTCTGCGCCGCACAGAGCCCGAGATGGACTGTCAGCTCCTGGACCCTCTTCCCTGTGCGGCGCCCTGGGAGCTCCTCACAGGGCCACCTTTCTTTAGGGCTCAAGCTCCTATAGGGCTTTTATTTACTTCTAGGGCCGAAAGGAGATACTGCCCCTACACAAGTGACCACTTCCTGGGCTCTGAAATGCACAGGGACCGCTTTCCTGGTGCCTCACTCTGTCTCCCTCAATGTTTACACTCGCCGTGGCCGGCCCTGGCCCCAGGTGGCTTTCTGCTGAGGCTGTCCATTAACAGTGTTCCTGACCTGTCCCTGGTTGTCGACAGAGCCTTTCCAGGAGCCCCTTTTATGGGTTTTTGCTGTGTGCCTGGTGGCGTGCAAAGGATTCTATGGCCATCCTCCCAATCACCCTGTGCGGTGCCAACAGACGGCTGCCCCTATTTCCAGAGGAGGAAACAGGCTCTGTGAGGGACAGTAAGTGCCTGGGCTGGCATCAGGGCAGCCTGGGCAACCCTAACCCTGGTCTCCCGGAGACCAGTGGGTCACTTCAGGGAACAGCATGAGGCTGGCTGGAGCCGAGGACACGGGCCCGGGTGGGAGGGAGCGCAGCCCATGGGGTTGGAGATAACAGGGTCAGCGGGAGGCGAGGGACAGTGGCCGCTGAGCTAGAGACACTCGCACCCAGGGCGGATAGAGGCTCCAGAGCAGGCCGGGGCACAGAGCTGGAACCGGAGGATGACCATGGCGGGGGAGGAGGGGCGTGACGCCTGTGCCGGACACGAGGCAGGAGGACAGTGCAGAGACTCCGGGCTGTACCCACGTCCCAGGAGCGGTCAGGGGTCGAGAACCATAACGTCCTGTGCAGCCAGATACTGATAAACCTGGGCAGCCACAACGGGCAGAGAAGATGCCCTGAGGAGTCCTCGTCTCGGTCCTGCCAGGCGTTCAGGGTTCCCGGGAAGTGCTGAATGCATCAGACAGAACCCTCGAGAGAGAACCGGTCCCAAGCCGGCAAATGCAAATGCCATTCAGCCCATCTCGGCGGGCCGCACGCGACAAGGGAGGACACAGAGCCTTTGCTGAGAGTTTATCTCCTGGCACCGAGGAGCTGCAGCTGGGGGCGGTTGATTCCACGCTCCCCTCCTCCGGGCAGCCTTCCTAGCTTGCACGCCTGCTGCTCAGTGGCCTGGGAGCTCCCGCCCTGTCCCTGTCCCGTCACCGAGGGTCTGCCGGGCCACCTCCAGGACAGTCTAGGACAGTGTGGAGGACCGCCAGGCTCTGCTCTGGGGCTGCCCGCTAAGTCCGGTTGTGGTGCAGGTATCCGAGTCCAGCCTTGGTGCTGAGGCTGCAGGATGACCCTTCTGGAGCACAGGCTGAGCCACCGCTCCCCGGAAAGCCCTGGGGGCTCTGCTCGCCCGCTCCGCGGCCTGGCTGCCCAAGGTGGAAGCTTCACGATACCCAATAGCCACGTGGTATTAGGGACAGGGGGCTGGGGAGAAGGCGATGTCCCCCATCTTCCAGGGTGTCACAGTGCACCAGCAAAGACGACTCAAGGAGGTGTTCTGACCCTCGTGGGGGAGTCCAAAGCGCTTGATGGCCTCGGGGCCCTGGGAGTGTAGCCTGGAGAGGCGGGGCAGCCCAACCACAGGGCTCTCCATTGGGGTCACTGGGAAAGAGGATGTGGAGGCGAGGCGGAGTTATACCCTGGAGAGGGGCCGGGCAACTCCTCCGTGTGTGGTGCAGGCGGCAGGGGTGGGGGTCCAAAAGCTGTCCAGGAAGGAGCAGGCAGGAAGGCAGACAGAAGGCGCCCCACCCAGCTGGGCTCTCCCCTTTACCACAGGGGCTGGGGAGCTACAGGGCAGTCATGGCAGATCTGAAGCCGGCTACAGCCAATGCCCAGCTGCAGTCGCCTAGACCTGTCAAGCGGGGAACCCCCTGGGGCCCCGGCTTCCTGGGGCTGGAGGCAGCTATGAAGGCTGGGCAGGGCCACCTTCCACTGAAGCCCGCTGGCCTCAGGCAGCCACCAGTAGGTGCAGAGGCAGGGTGAGAAGGCAAACAGAGCAGATCCGAGGGCTTGCTGCAGAGAGAACATGCCACACACATTCTCCCAGATGCATGAGGAAACCAAACCGCCAGAGACTACAGCCCAGGGGGAGAGCGGGCAGCCCGGGCCCCCCCACCCCAATCTGGAAACCACCCGTCCTGGGGTGCCTGACCCCGCCCTGGCTATGGCTCTGGTAAGTCACGACGCCCGCAGGCCTCGGCCGCTAGGGCACGCGGTGGGCTCTGCCGACAGGAGCCCTCAGGGATGGGGGGCAGCCACGTGGCCTTCCTCCCGCGTCCGTCAAGTACACAGACTTTATTCGGGACACGCACGAGATGCCGGCTGCGCCAGCCAGGAGGCGCGAAGGCAGGAGCCCTCCGCGGGAACTCGCCTCGACCTCAGGCTGCTGACGCGCGGCCCCGCGCCCGCTACTCCCGGTAGTGCACCCTCTGGTGCTGGATGAGCTGGGAGCTCTGGCCGAAGGCTTTGCCGCAGGCGCCGCAGGCGAAGGGCTTCTCGCCCGTGTGGGTCCGCAGGTGCCGGAAGAAGTGCGAGCGGCCGCGGAAGGCCTTGCCGCAGTCGGGGCACTCGTAGGGCTTCTCGCCCGTGTGGATGCGCTGGTGCTCGATGAGCACCGAGCTCCAGATGAAGGCCTTGCCGCACTGGCTGCAGGCGTACGGCTTCTCGCCCGTGTGCAGCCGCTGGTGCCGCACCAGGTTGGAGCTCTGGCTGAAGGCCTGGCCGCACTCGCCGCACTCGTACGGCTTCTCGCCGTTGTGGATGCGCAGGTGCTGCGTGAAGTGCGAGCTGTGGCTGAAGGCGCGGCCGCACTGGCCGCACTCGTAGGGCTTCTCGCCCGTGTGGATGCGGTGGTGCTGGATGAAGCCCGACCAGCCGCGGAAGCGCTTGCCGCACTCGTGGCAGGCGTAGGGCTTCTCGCCCGTGTGGATGCGCTGGTGCTTCAGCAGCAGCGAGTTGTACTGGAAGCTCTTCCCGCAGGCCTCACACCTGTGCGGCTTCCCGCCCCGCGGGCCACTCTGCCGGGCCCCGAGGCCCGAGCCCCGGCCGAGGCTGCCCGCCAGCTCGTCGGCGCGCCCCGGGCCGCCCTCTGTCCCCGAGGCTCCCTGCAGCCCGAGCGGCCCACGCCAGGTGCCTCTCTTCTGGGGGCGGGGCCCGGCCCCCGGCGGCTGGCCTAACGGCCGCTCCAGGCTGCACTCCTGCCCCAAGCTGTCCCCACACCTGGGTCTATGGGGAAGGCTCCTCAGAAGGGTCCTGAGCACCCCCGTGTCCTGGTCCACCTCATCTTCAGGATTGTGCGGCTGGGGAGACGACGGGGCCCGCTCGCGCTCCAACTCGGGATCTGAGAAACGGGAGAGGCGGAGAGCACTCAGCCGCCCACCAGGCTGTCCGTCCGCGGGGACCCCCGCCCCGTTCCAGATGACAGCACCAGGGTGAGAACACACAGGGTGCGCGCGCATGTGGAGGGGGGAAACCTGACAGGAGATTCAGACTCAGAGCCAAGCAGAAAAGCCCCTGATCCTGAGGACGCTGCCCACACGGCCCCGGAGCTGCTCCACGGATCCCCAGAGGACACCCCAAGGGCTTCTCTAGGGGAGAGAGGCGGGGGGTGGGGTGGGGAGGGAGAGAAACGAGGAGCTGAGGGCCTGGATGAGCGAAGCCCCAGGGGAAGGGGGTGGGGACCAGAGCTCGATTTAGGGGACAAGTGGAGGTCAAGGGCAGTACACAGGGGTGCCAGGACGACTCCCCGATTGCTGGCCAGTGTTCCCAAGTCGGACACTCTAGCCGGACAGGCAGGTGGATATGGGGGTCTGCGCTGCTCTCACAGCCCAGAAAGTGTCAGCAACAAGACCGGGACTGAACGGGGGGAGGGGCTGTGGGGGACAGAAGTGAGCGCTGAGCCAGGGACAAGTGGGGCCCCGGGGCCTGGCAGCGGTGGTGGGCGCTGCACAGAGCCTGGAGTGCAGCAGCCGCAGGTAAACGCGCTTCTGGGCGGGGCCCCGCGGCAGGTTCCGCTTGCTCACCTGGCCAGCAGGTGTCTCTGCCAGCCTGGACCTCCTCCACGTCCCGGAGATCCTCCTCCTGTGGTGGCTGGGAGGGCACCTCAGGGCTGCAGCCGGGGAAGCCTGAGGGTCACAGCGGGGCTGGGGCTCATCTCCCCCTCCTCTAGAACGGGTTGTACCCCCCAACACACCTCGTTGCCCTCTGGAGGCTCGCTGAGTGGGACAGAACACATCTACCTGGGTCCTCGTCCTGGCTACCAAGAGCTGATTTGTGTCCTCGACTGTGAGGGGAGTGAGGCCAGGCCTCCTGTGGGACATGGGGCAGGGAAGGGACCCCGGACTCCCTGACGGCTGCGTGTGAGCAGGGTCCAGGGGCACCACACACCGCAGGGCTTGGACATCCTCCCCGACCAGTTGTCGGCTATTTCCACACCTGGACACCCCCAGACCCTGCCGGGGGGCGGAGCAAGGCTGATGGTTCCATCCCTGCAGGTCCCTGGGGGTCCCCACCCAAACCAGCTTGCCCAGAACTCTGGAGACCATTTTCCTGGCGTGGGATCAAAGGCTCGGAGAGGGAGATAAGGTGACTGACTCCTCTCACACAGGCCTGGCCATCGAGGCTTCTTTTTTTGCACCCCTCATCCCCTAAAGAAACATTCTCCAAGGGACTGTCCTCTAGGGAGCCACTGCTCACACAGCTCGACCCCTAGCCTCAAGCACTGCTGCCCGAGTCCCGACCCAAGCACCAGGGTGCAGGAGCCCCAGCGCCCAGTGAGCTGCCTGCCCGCAGTGACGGTGCAGGGAGGCAAGTACCATGTTGATGGCCGTGGAGGTGAAGCTGGGCCTCGTGGCGGTGGCAGGCTCCAGGTGTCTCCGGTGACTCGAAAGTGACAGTGGACAGGACATGAGGGGGCTCCTGACTGTCCCCCAGGGCTGCCATCTTCCCCCAAGGCCTGCTGGAGGACTGCACACCTGGGAGCCGGGGAAACGAAAACCACGGCGACATGAGGGGGTCAGAGGGATGTGCGGGGTGGGGCCGATCAGCCACAGGTGAGCTGGAGGCTCCTCCCCCGGGGGAGGAACTAAGCGCCAGGAGGTAACCTGTGGGGCCCACCGTGCGAGGCCACCGGGGCCCCTGGTGTGTTCTACCACGTGCACAGCACCAGCGCACCCACACGAACTGAACCCAAGCTCTCCCCCCAGCAATGCCCGCAATGTCCTCCCAACCCAAGGCCTTGCCCATGGAGAAAAGCAAAGCTGGTTCTCCCGGAAAAACCTCCCCCGTCACAGCTGGGGGCCGCTGGCCCTGGGGAGCGCAAAGAACTGACTTTGCCTGCCGGAGCAGGAACGTCCTAGGTTAAATCTTAACGAGACATTTCCAGAGAGGAAAACCCCCCTCAGAGGCCGCAGACTGGGACCCCTCACATCCCAGCCCCGCCTAGGGTGCTCCGAGCCTCCTCTGGGGTCAAAGATACTTTTCTTTAGTCTGGTTTGCCGGAATAGGTTGGTCTAAAATGAGGATTTTTCTTTCACACTTCCATGAAGTAGGAGGCCTTATCTGGGAGTGAAAAGGGGCAGGGGAAGGATGAAAGGTAATGTACATCCAATAACGGTGCAGGCAGTACCTGCTTCAAGGAAGCAGGGAGGCAGACGCCACAGGGCTCCTCACCAGTGGGGGCCTCCTGGGTCAGCCCCCGACCTCAGCCCCTAAAGATGGGAAGGATCACCCACAGCCAGGTAAGTGGACACACGGTGGGTCTGCAGTGCTGACATCTGGGTATGCCACATTTTAAATATCTGGGAAAGGGCACGGTCACCCCTAGCCGGGCTCTGAGGGGAGGTGGCGGTCACGAAGGGACGCCAGTGCAAACGTCTACGCTGCTGCAACAGGCTGAAGGCAGAGGGGACACAAACGGCACCGGCCCAGGAGCAAACCCTCCTCCACTCCGCCTCCCAGCTTGGAGCCTGTGCGCCGCCGGAAAGAGCCCGAACTCGGGGCGCTTGGCAGCGGAGAGCAGGGTGCCCCGGCTGAGTCCGGCCACGGACCTCGGGCCAGGGGCAGCTCTGAGCCTCTTTTCCATCTGCAAAGTGGGCATCACCACAGCTCCCGTCCCTGGGGTTCCGGGCGCGTGGGGAGGCGCCCCGCAAACGAACACCCGCGATCGTCAGGGGCCAGTGTGCCCCCTGCGTCCCGCCATCCGCGCCCCCCACGCCCGGCCGAGGCCAAGGTCTTGGCGGCTGCGGGGACAACGCGCGAGCGCGGGCTGGGCCGAGGGTGCCCCGCAGCCGCCACCACCGCCGCCCGGCGCCCACTCACCTTCCGATCGGGAGGTGGCCGCCAGCCCGCCCGCCGGCCGGAAGTGCTCCCGCGCCCCGCCCGCCCGGCCTCGCGCACTTCCGGGACGCTCTAGGTCCCCGGCGGACCGGTGCCTTGGTGACCTCGGGGGCTATGGGCGGGGCAAGAGGACACCTCGGGGTTCAGGCAGGAGGGAGACGGGGAGATGGCAGGGGAGAGGAGGGGGCTTGTGATGGAAATGCACACAACCTAATTCTCCTTGGATGTGTCCTCCCCGATGGTGGACAGCGGTGGCCGTGGGCCGGACTTTCACCCTTTCTCGTCTTCAGTCTGTCCCGCTGGTTCAGTTTCAGAGGGATGGGGGCAGCCTTCTGTTTCCCATGAGGGTGGACAGGCCTGAGGGGTTCTAATTACTCCCATGGAGACTTTTAGCCAATCACCATTTTTCTTCCCACCTCTGCCCCACTGTCAGGGTTACCCGCGACCCCATCCCCAGGCCCTGCCAGCCTTCTCAGCCTGGACGTGCACCTTGTCAAGTGTGTAGGCTTCTGCCGAAAGCTGCTTCTCCTCATTTTCCAGCTTCTGAAGCCTCCAGCCGACAGCGCTTACTCTTCTCTCTCCGGCCTCGTGAATCTTCTCTTTGGCCCTTCGCCTAAGTCACGGATCTAACTCGGGTCCCCACCCTCAGCATCCTGGGCTCTTTAGGACGCTGAACAGCTTCCCTGCCCCCCGCAACTGACAATAGTACCTCCCCTCAGTTGGGACAACCAAAAAAATGTCCCCAGGTGTTGCCAACGTCCGCTCCTGAGGGCAGAATCGCCCCTCGTGAGAACATCTGCTCTAACAGAGGCAAAGTGAGCAGGGGCACAGAGGGGAGGACTGACAGAGCGCGTCAGAGCTCAGGACCTGAACGGGGTGCTGACAGGGTCTGGGGGCAGGCAAGGTCACGTCACACTGTAGGCATGAAGCAACGACAGGGCCTAACTTTGTTTCCCAGGGAAAAATGTCCCCTGCTTTTTGAAAGTTCTCTTTACACCACTTTGCTTTTACAAGAGACCTACATTAGTACCTGTTTTCCAACAAAGCCAAACAGGATTTTAGCTTTTTTTGAATAAAGGCAAAAAGTGAAAACAGCGCTCAGCATTTGTTCTGCAGCAGCTGCAACCGAGGCAGCGAGAGCGGCCCCTGCCGAGCTCCTGTGGGACTGCACTCAGCACCAGGCTGCCGGGGCTGCGAGCCGCGTCTGGGAGCGTCTGCGCTTCGTCTCGATTTGCCCTGTGCGCCGTGAGCAACACGTGTCCTAACAAGGTAACTAAGTGCCTCTTCGCTTTATGCCATTTCGGCCTTGGAAGGTGTCACAGGAACGCTCTGCTTTTGGATAGCAGGGGAACCTGTATCCAGGCTCAGAGAGGGGTGTCTATTGAGGGACACGGTATTTTGCTGAAGCAAGGGGTCATGCCCATCCTAAGTTAGCACATTCCTTTTCTGATTTGTGTGTTGGTCTCTTACAAGTTTGGTTAAGATGAGGCGGCCCCCAAGAGACACATCCAGAGGCAGTGACCAGCTGGGCCTCTGGCTCTGCAGGCCTGGGCCAGACCTTGAGCTGGGAGATGGTCTCTCCCTTGAGGCAGTGGCACCTCCCTGGGGACTCTTGACTGTGGGGAGAGCAGCTGAATGCAGTGAACAGGTCAGAACAGATGTTTATTGTAGGAGAAAACAAGATCCAGAGGCAGCAGGACAAGGAAGCACTGACGGATGCCCAGAGCATCTGGGAAGAAACGTGGGGACCAGCGCAACAGCCGTCTGGGTTAAGAGAACACCGCGTGAAAAGCAAGCCCCGGGAAAGCGAGGAGAGAACAAAAGAGAACATCTACCCCAAAGGTAGACCACACTTGCTTTCCACGGACTGAAGGATGTGAAAATATAATCAAGTAAAAGTTCAACAAATTTGACTAGTTGGAAAGTTGCATTTCTAGGACTAAAAATAACAGTCAGCAACACTAGACTGGGGAAAGCATCCGCCCCAGCACAGGCCCAAGGCCACCCGCTGTGCACAGGCGTTTGTAGCCCATGGCCACCTCGGTCCACCAGGGGTCATGAGACGAGCAGCACCCCCAGTGCTGAAGCTCTCCAGGAAACAAACACGCAGTAACACCAAGAGGCAGGACACTAAAGGCAAACAGGACCAGGATGCTGCGTGGGTGAGGCTGCGGGGACACAGGCCACGCGGGCCCACAGGGAGCTCGCAGGTTGTGTCGGACGTACCTGACACCGGGGCCTCCCAGTGCCGAGATCGCTGTGGGCAGTGGGGCCGGGGCGCTGGGAGCTCATCCCGAGGGACGGCTGTCCTCAGGCCTTGGAAATCCCCGTCCGTGGAGTCCGCAGCGTCAGCCTCGCCCTGTGGCTGGGCCTGGATCCTGTAGGGGCTCTGGTCAAGGGGAGGACCTCCGGCTCCCGGCTTTGCTGACAGGTGGCTGGAGTTTGTGCGCAAGCAGCCAGGAGGCAGTGAACTCCGAGCTCGGGGCAGGGGTCCTTGAAGACACCGGCTGCCTCTCAGAGCACAGCCCTGACCCCAGGCAGTGGATCCCGGGTCACTCCCGCCCTGTCCCCCGCCATTTCCCTCTCTGGTCCCAACACTGCTTCCGTGGGCCTCGAGACACCCCCTTTACCCCGCCATCTTAGCTTACTGAAAACCCCACCCTCACCGTGACCTCTGTCTGTGCTGCTCCAGAGCAAATGCCCAAGTGCCCCCACACCAGGGGCTTCTACTGCAAGCAGGGCGACTCGGAGCCCTGGCCTTGCCCCCAGGGCCCAGGCCAGCCCAGTGTCACTCTGCAGCGCGTCTTGGTGTCTAGCTCACCGGCAGAAGAAAGGAATGATCACATCTCGGTGCCCAAAATGGGGACAGACATGAGCGGCCATTAGAAATGAAGCCCAGGTGACATGCTGGTGCCCAGAGCCTCCCCAGGGGTGCAGTGGAACTGGCGAGGGCGACCTGGGCTGAAGCCCATCGGCCCCGCCTGCTCCGTGGCCCGCACCGCCAGCTGCCCTCAGAGCACAGGGTCTGGCACGAAGGACCACAGACGTCACGTCCCCGGGACATCCGCAGGTGTCCCCACGCCCGTTCAAGGTCCTCTGTGCCTTCGCTCTGACGCCAGGTCATGCCGTCCCAGCGCCCTCCGTGCTGGCCCCGGCAGCGGGGAGCCTGCGCGGTAACTCAGGTGCCCTGACGTGTTTTTGCGGTCGCTGCTTTAACCGTTCTCCTGTGTTCAGTGGGGAGGGGACACCCTGAAGGGCGTTTGCCGGGACAAGCTCCGAGGCCAAGGAGGTTCTGACTTGGCCTGCAGCTCTTTCCTCCTGGAGCCTGTCCTACAGCACTCCTGGCTGAGGGGGAGGGGCTGAGCGCCTCAGAATCTCGAGACGTCTCCCTGCGGTTGCTTCCCCTTTTCATCTCACTGCCTTCACACGGCCTATCAGACGGAACACTTCCCTCCACCTCCACCTGACCCGACGGCAGGCACTGCCCGAGGGTGGAGTGTCTGCTGCCCGGCCACCTGCCCTGCGGTGACAATGCCTGCCCTGTAGTGACAGCGCCCGCGCTGCAGTGACAGCCCTCCGCGCCGTGTCCCCGCACGCCCCTCCTGCAGCCTAGCCATGTGGACCGCAGGGGTGTCCTTTCTTACCACGGCCTTTCTCTTCCCTTCCTTCTTGATCTCTGTTCCTCCCTGGAGCTCAGGAACGTGGAAGTTTTGCTAGTTGTGAGGTTCTTTTTCACGCATATTTCATCAGGAACTTCTTGCTTTGGGGCGGATCTGCTTTCACAGCCGAAAAAGGACAGAAGTACCTTTTGAATAAATAAAGAAGCGCAATTATCACCTGGTTGATAATTGGGAAATGATCAACAGTTGGGCAATGCCAACGGTGTGAATGAGGCCAGGCTCTGGGCACATGGACACGCGGAGGCTGGTACTTGGTGGGGATAACGGCCACAGGGGCTGGAGGAGAGCAAGGTGGGGAAGGGGGCGCGGGCTGTGGCTCAACCCATGTAACCCACCCTGGGTGGTAACAAGATTTCAAGGAAAGTGCTTCAAAACTTGGGACTTCCCTGGTGGCACAGTGGTTAAGAATCTGCCTGCCAATACAGGAAATACGGGTTCAAGCCCTGGTCCGGGAAGGTCCACGTGAATATTAATAGTGATGGCAGAAACTCTGTACTGCTTGTTTTCAAAGAGAATGCCGTTTAACATTTAACCTTAAGGTTTAATTTGCTATAGACTGTTTTGTTCTTTGATTTTTATTTTATATTGGAGTATAGTTGATTTACAATGTTGTGTTCGTTTCAGGTGTACAGCAAAGTGATTCAGTTATACATACATATATGTGTGGGTATATATATATATATTCTTTTTCAGTTTCTCTTCCCATATAGGTCATTACAGAGTATTGAGTAGAGTTCTCTGTGCTCTACAGTATGTCCTTGTCAATTATCAATTTTTATATATAGTAGTGTGTATATGTTAATTCCAACCTCCTAATTTATCCCCCCCCCCCACCTTTCCCCTTTGGTAACCGTAAGTTTGTTTCCTAAGTCTGTGAGTCTATTTTTGTTTTGTACATAAGTTCATTTGTATCATTTTCTTTTAAGATTCCACAAATGAGTGATATTATATGATACCTGTCTTTCTCTTTCTGACTTACTTCACTTAGTATGATAATCTCTAGGTCCATCCACGTTGCTGCAAATGGCATTATTTCATTCTTTTTTATGGCTAATAGTCCATTGTATATATATATACCACATCTCCTTTACCTTTTCCTCTGTCAATGGACATTTAGGTTGCTTCCATGTCTTGGCTATTGTAAATAATGCTGCAATGAATATTGGGGTGCATGTATCTTTTGAAATTATGGTTTTCTCTGGATATATGCCCCATAGTGGGATTGCTGGGTCGTATGGTAGTTCTATTTGTAGTTTTTTAAGGAGCCTCCATGCTGTTCTCCATAGTGGCTGCACCAATTTACGTTCCCACCAACAGTGCAGGAGGGTTCACTTTTCTCCACACCCTCTCCAGCATTTATTATTTGTAGACTTTTTGATCATGGCCATTCTGACCAGTGTGAGGTGAAACCTCATTGTAGTTTTCATTTGCATTTCTCTAATAATTGGTGATGTTAAGCATTTTTCATCTGCTTTTTGGCCATCTGTATGTCTTCTTTGGATAAATGGCTATTTAGGTCTTCTGTCCATTTTTTTTTTTTTTTTTTTTGCTGTACACGGGCCTCTCACTGTTGTGGCCTCTCCCGTTGCGGAGCACAGGCTCCGGACATGCAGGCTCAGCGGCCATGGCTCACGGGCCCAGCCGCTCCACGGCATGTGGGATCTTCCCGGACTGGGGCACGAACCCGTGTCCCCTGCATTGGTAGGCGGACTCTCAACCACTGCGCCACCAGGGAAGCCCTGTCCATTTTTTTTTATTGGGTTTTTTGATATTGAGCCACATGAGCTGTTTCTATATTTTGGAGATTAATTCCTTGTCAGTTGCATCGTTTGCAAATATTTTCTCCCATTCCGTGGGTTGTCTTTTTGTTTTGTTTATGGTTTCCTTTGCTGTGCAAAAGCTTTTACATTTGATTAGGTCCCATTTGTTTATTCTTGTTTTTATTTTCATTACTGTAGGTGGATTCAAAAACATCTTGCTGCAGTTTATGTCAAAGAGCGTTCTGCCTATGTTTTCTTCTAAGAGTTTTATAGTATCAGATCTTACATTTAGGTCTTTAATCTATTTTGAGTTTATTTTTGTATATTGTGTTAGAAAATGTTCTAATTACATTCTTTTACATGTAGCTGTCCAGTTTTCCCAGAACCACTTATTGAAGAGACTGTCTTTTCTCCATTGTATGTTCCTGCCTCCTTCGCATTGATTAATTGACCATAGGTGCGTAGGTTTATCTCTAGGCTTTCTATCTTGTTCCATTGATCTATAAGTCTGTCTTTGTGCCAGTACCATACTGTTTTGATGACTGTAGCTCTGTAGTATAGTCTGAAGTCAGGGAGCCTGATTCCTCCAGCTCTGTTTTTCTTTCTCAAGATTGCTTTGGCTATTCAGGGTCTTTTGTGTTTCCATACAAATTTTAAGGTTTTTTTGTTCTAGATCTGCAAAAAATGCCATTGGTAATTTGATAGGGATTGCCTTGAATTTGTAGATTGCCTTGGGGAGTATAGTCATTTTGACAATATTGATTCTTCCAGTCCAATAACATGGTATATCTTTCCATCTGTTTGTGTCAGTTTTGATTTCTTTCATCAGCATCTTGTAGTTTTTGGAGTACAGGTCTTTCACCTCCTTAGGTAGGTTTATTCCTAGGTATTTTATTCTTTTTGATATGTAGGCAATGGGACTGTTTCCTTAATTTCTCTTTCTGATCTTTTGTTGTTATAGAAATGCAACAGATTTCTATGTATTAATTTTTTATTGTGCAACTTTACCAAATTCATTGATGAGTTCTAGCAGTTTTCTGGTGGCATCTTTAGGATTTTCATGTATAGTATCATGTCATCTGCAGACAGTGACATTTTTACTTATTCTTTTACAATTTGGATCCCTTTTATTTCTTTTTCTTCTCTGATTGCCGTGGCTAGGACTTCCAAAACTATGTTGAATAAAAGTGGCCAGCGTGGACATCCTGTCTTGTTCCTGGTCTTAGAGGCAATGCTTTCAGCTTTTCACCACTAAGTATGATGTTAGCTGTGGGTTTGTCATATATGGCCTTTATTAAGTTGAGGTATGTTCCCTCTGTGCCCACTTTCTGGAGAGTTTTCTTTTTTTTTTTTAAATCATAAATGGGTGCTGAATATTATCAAAAGCTTTTTGTGAATCTATTGAGATGACCATATGGTTTTTATTCTTCAGTTTGTTAATGTCGTGTATCACACTGATTGATTTGCGAATATTGAAAAAGCCTTGCATCCCTGGGATAAATCCTACTTGATCATGGTGTATGACCCTTTTAATGTATTGTTGGATTTGGTTTGCTAGTTATTTTGTTGAGGATTTTTGCATAATATCAGTGATATTGCCTGTAATTTTCTTTTTTAGTGGTATCTTTGTCTTGTTTTGGTATCAGGGTAATGGTGGCCTCGTAGAACAAATTTGGGAGTGTTCTTTCCTCTGCAATTTATGTCGTCTATGCATCTCTGAATTTATGTCATCTATGAAAGCAATCTGTCTGGTTAGAGGATTCTTCAGGCTATTTCCTCGAGTTGGCTTCAGTAACTCATCTTTCTTCTATAACCCACTTCATTTGAGTTCTCACATCTCTTGGTTCGACAGTTTATCCTTCTAATCTCTGATGTATCTGCCATTATCCTCCCCTTCTCACTCCTAATGGAGCTCTCCTTCTCACTCCTAAAGGAGCTCCTTTGCTCCTTCCTTCTCTCTTTCTGGATTCCACTGCCAGGGAATGTCAATTTTCATAGTCCTGTCAGAGCACCAACTTTTATTAAAAATGCTCTCCATTCCCATTAGTCGTATTAATTTCTATAATTTATTGCCTCCATTCTACTCTGAGTTTATTCTGTTGGCCTTTTTTCACTTTTAAAGTTGGATGCTTAGCTTGTTGATTTCCAGCTCTTCTGCTGGTCACATAAGGCTACAAATTTCCGTTTGGCTTTAGTTACACCAGAATTTCTGGCAAGTTGTATTTTCATTATCATCCAGGTTTAAGTATTTTATAACTTTCATTATATTTTTTTCTTCTCTCTTTTAAAAAATTTATTTATTCTTGGCTGTGTTGGGTCTTCGTTGCTGTGTGCAGGCTTTCTCTAGCTGCAGTGAGCGGGGGCTACTCTTTGTTGCGGTGCGCGGGCTTCTCATTGTGGTGGCTTCTCTTGTTGCAGAGCACAGGGGGCTTCAGTAGTTGTGGTGCGTGGGCTCAGTAGTTGTGGCTCATGGGCTCTAGACAGAGGTTCAGCAGTTGTGGTGCACGGACTTACTGCTCCGTGGCATGTGGGATCTTCCCAGACCAGGGCTCGAACCCATGTCCCCTGCATTGGCAGGTGGATTCTTAACCACTGCGCCACCAGGGAAGCCTATGTTTTTCTTCTTTGACTCAGGCTACTTAGAAGGTTTTCTTTTTCTGGAATTTGGGTTTCATTTGAAGAGCAATAGAAAAAAAACCCAAAAAACAAAAAACCCATCAAAACAGATTTATCTGAAAGATTTGGGTTCAGTGCTTGGTGGTGATGTGGTGTCATAATGGTTAACTCAGAAGAAATGGGAAATGAGCCTGTCTGTCTGAACCAAAATGACAGGAGGCAAAAAAGACGGTGGACTGATTTTAGTTTGATTGTGTGATTTATTTTCTCATGTCTCTCTTGTTTTCCTGGCTGATTTCATTCTCTTGAGAGAGGGACTGATGGCTGTCTGCTTGCACAGCCGCCTCTCATGCCTGTGGAAAAATGTCCGCTCACTAAGGACACTAACACGTGACCGGAGCTGACAGCGGCTGAACTGGGGGTCAGCACGGCACTGAGGTCACACACAGTCACTGACCAGGCTGAGCACTGTCAATGCCTCCAAGTCATCTCTGAGGAACCATAGGCACAAGGAGGTGAAGGACGGGCCCAAGGTCCCACATCTCCAAGGCACGAGGGTCGAGTCAGTAACCCCTGGCTCCAGAGACTATGCTCTTTGCCACCTGCTTCCTCTCTAGAACTCGAAGACACCAGATTAGAATGCTTCTTCTCTCCCATCAAATTGGTGAGATTAAAACCCACCTGCTACCTGTGCACTGCTGGGGCACTTATGCAGCACAACCTGGGGGAAGGCAATTTGCCAGAATGATCTCCCCGTCAGCTCATTTCTGGCAACCCGTCCTGTTGGCCCTAAATGTGGAGATGTTTACTGCCTTGTTTTTATTGACCTAAACTGGAAACAGCCTACATGCCTTTGTTAGGAGAAGGTTAAGTCAACGTTTTATTTAATGGATCATTATGCAGCCACAAAAAATGCTTCCCGTTGGTATTAACGTGGAAACATAATAACATAGAAAATGAGAATTTTTCTATAGTACATGTGATGTGTTGTAATTTACGGTACATTTATACAATATTTTACATATAACAATATATCCATCATGGTATATTATAAACCATCATAAATAAAAACCAAACCAAACCGAAGCAGATGCAGACACCCCTGGAACGTGTCACATACCCTTCATCTGAAACTGGCCAAATCCGGCCCACCACCTGCTTCTGTAAATAAAGGCTTATTGGCCGTTCCTGTGCTGTAATTGCTATGGCATGTCATGGCTGAGCTGAGTTGTGGCAGAGACCTTATGGCTACAAAGCCAAGAACAGTTATTATCTGTCCCTTAACAGAAAGTGTTTGTCAACCTGCCAATCTGCATTGTTGTTATTGCTTCTTTGCTCAGCCTTTGAGAGCAAACTGCAGATGTCATGACCCTGTGGCCCTTAAGACCTCAGCATGCATCTTTCATGACAAGGACGTTGTCTGGGATGGCTGCAGGCCATCAAACCAGGGAGCTTTGACACTGATGTGCCCCCCCACCTCCCCTGTGGACAGTCTAGACCCAACGTTTGCCAAATGTCCCAGTGACCTCCTTTATAGCAACCTTTCCCCACCCAGGATCACAGGTGTGTTTTCCCTGAGCCAGACCCTGGCACCTGTTTGAACAACTTTGCCTCATCACATCTCCAGTTCCGGGACTGTGAGAGCAGGATCACAGGTCACACCTGGGGCCTGCCTGTCGGGGTAGGAGGAGGGCCTGCCGAGCTGTGAAGCAGAGGTGCGAGCTCAGGTAGAGCTGTTATAACGTCATAGCTTTTAGAAAGAACAAGAGTACAAATCTTAACCTGGAGGGATGTTTCCACTGGGAGCACTCTCTCCTGTCTCCTGATGGAGGGGCCCCCAAGATCAAGGCCATTATTAGTTTTCTGGGTCTAAAGAGCTGAAAATGTAGGTGTCAACATTTTCCTGATAAAAAGCCCTATTACTTCCTGGATAACAGTCACCTCACCCCTCTTATACTGTGCTGGAATTCTGGGACAAACCACACCCTCGCCCAGGAGAACATGGAGCCCATCCAGACCACTCTTGGAGGGAAACCAAGGGCAGGCACAGCATGTGGATGTGAAGGGGGTAGGATGGAAGCTGGGGGCCAAGCACAGAGAAGTGGAACTAACCTGCACGGAGAGCTGGCCCTGGGGGGCAGGCCCACCGTCTCGTGTCTGAAAGGCCGCATGGCAGGCAAAGGCTGCATCCAAGCTGCCGTCAACATCCCGGGGCCTCACACAGCCAGGGCAGGAAGCGCCCACAGTGGCAGCATTTAGTGTCCTGAGTGGTCCACCTGGTGAGTCAAGGCTGCTCAGCTGGGATGATGGCTGATGTGGGAGGACACACAGAGAGCCCAGTTCCTGGGAGCAGGGGCCAAGTTCAAGGAATGGTTCTCCAGAGAGGAGGGAAGGCAGAGGACAAAGCACAGCACCGCCACCAGAGCCAGCCAGGGGGACACTGGGGTCCCCAGTGCTCGCTGCGGAAGCACTGCCATCCAGCTCAGGGCCACAGGCCTCCTGCCGGGCTGCATGGAGATGGACTTGGGACCCAGTGGGCCAAAGGTCTGCAGCACAGTCTTCAAAGGAGCCAGTGGGAGGGCCGAAGCCAGCATGGGAGTCACAGGCGGAGGTGGCAGTGGGAGGTGCTGACTGTGCTCGGGTCTGAAGCCTGTCCCCTGGACAGCAGTTTGTACACTCGCCTCCCTGGTGCCACAGCTGTGAGGAGCTGCCTTGTTATCATGATGTCTTGCCCTGGAGATTCTCTAGACCAGAAAGGTCTCTGGCCACACCGGTGTTTGCTGACCTGGCTGGGGCGGTTTTCCTGGTGACGGCAGGACCCCCAGCCCGATCAGACGCCAGGGAGGAGGAGCCCCAGGCAGGCCTGCCAGGACAGTTTTCGCGGGCACAAGCTCTGAGTCTGGATGGCTTGCCCACACTCAGTGCTTCTTCCGTGGGTGACGTTTCCGATGGCGAATAAGACATGAGCTGTAGGCAAAGGTTTTCCCACATTCCTTACATTCGTACGGCTTCTCTCCAGTGTGGGTTTTCTGATGTTTTAGGAGATTTGAGCCACAGTTAAAGGCTTTGCCGCACTCACTGCACTTAAAGGGCTTTTCTCCGGTGTGAATCCTCCGGTGCTTGGTCACGTCTGAGCTGTGCCTGAATGTCTTCCCGCACTGGGCGCACTGGAAGGGCTTCTCTCCAGTGTGGACTCTCTGGTGGCGAACGTGATCCGTCTTGTGCTTGAAGACGCGCCCACATTCGCTGCATTCGTAGGGCTTCTTCCTCTGGAAGGGAGTGAACACAGGAACCCCCTCAAAGTCATCTTTAAATGTAGCACTGAAGGCCTCAAACATGTGTTCCTCGTCCTCACGACTCAGGCTGGGTTCCTTACTGTGCTTTTTGGCCAAAGTGGATCTCTGGTTTGGCTTCTTTTTCCTAGATGCTTTATCTTCCTTGGGAGTGTCCTTCTGAACACGCACTTCTTCCTCTGGGGTCTGTGCCTTCTTTTTTTTGCCTGTGGGCTTTTCCATCCTTCTTGTCCCCAGGAGAGAGGAAGGACCACTGGAAGCCGGCAAGGGCCAAGGAGAATGGCCAGCAGCAAAGTCCTCCAGCCTCACGAACCCCCTGGTGACTCCACTTCTTCAGAAAGGTCTTGCTTTAGGACACAATGCTGTGCTTCCCAAGCTGGTAACTGCAGCTCTGGAACAGAAACTGCAACAAAGAGAAGAGCACCAACAACCCTTCTGAGGCTGGAGAGAAACAAGACCACGAACATCAGATTAAACGAGTGTTTGGGAGGAACACAGCCATGAGGTCTCTGAGTGCTGAGTTATGAAGGGGCAGATGGGCAGGGAAGGGGTGGGGGAGGCATGGGAACATGGCCCCCTTCCCTCCCCTGCTCACGTATCCCACCTGGACCTCTAACGAGTCTCAGGCTGGACATGACCAAACAGAGCACTTATTTCCCAGAAACCCACCCCCCACAACCTCACTGTTCCCAGTTTTCCTCATCTCAGTCGATGGCATCATCGTTTACTCAGTTGCTAACCGAGGAATTCTCTTCTTCTTTAATTAATTAATTTATTTATTTTTGGCTGCGTTGGGTCTTTGTTGCTGCGTGTGGGCTTTCTCTAGTCGTGGCGAGCGGGGGCTACTCTTCGTTGCGGTGCACGGGCTTCTCACTGAAGTGGCTTCTCTTGTGGTGGAGCACAGGCTCTAAGCGCGCGGGCTTCAGTAGTTTTGGAATGTAGGCTCAGTAGTTGTGGTGCATGGGCTTCATTGCTCTCCGGTATGTGGGATCTTCCCGGACCAGGGCTCGAACCCGTGTCCCCTGCATTGGTAGGCAGATTCTTAATCACTGTGCCACCAGGGAAGTCCCAACCAAGGAATTCTTATTCCTCTGCCAGGGGCCAGCATCTCCACACCTGCGTCCAGTAGGACTCATGTGTACCATGGACCAACGACTGCCGCGTGGTCCCCAAACTGGAGTTTCCCCCCGCCCTTTACTTGCTCCTTCTCCACTTCTTGTATTTGGGGCCAGACAACGTGCTTTTGGAGTTACAGGCTGCGGGAGCCACATGTGACCCTCATGGAAGGTACCTCCCATCACTTGGAGCCTGGATTCTGAGCTGGATGAAACTCGCTCCCACCCTCACCCCGGCCCTCCCCTGGGTCCATCCTCCACAGAGCAGCCAGTGAACCCCCGTCACATCTCTGCCCAAATCCCCACTGGCTCCCCTCACACTGCTGCCCCTGTGCTTCCCCACCCCCGCAGCCATCCTTAGGTTTGCCACACGTTCCTTCCTGCCTCAGCGCCTGGGTGCTCCTAGAAACAGGTCCTGAGAGGAGGTGTTGGTGGTGCTGGCCCCTCACTCATTCAGAGCTCTGCTCTGAGGGCCCTTCTCAGGCAGTCCTCCCTGACCCCACTCCCTGGTTCCCTTACGCGGCTCCCATTCTCCTTGTGGCACTTCACTGGAGCCAACTCATCCACTGAAGGCCAAAACCCCAGGGAACAATCAACTACGATCTTGCTTGCACTGTCTAAAGAATCCGACATTCTCTGTCTCTAATCCCATCTAAAAGAATTCCAACTTCACCACGAGTTCAAACAGGAATCAGTCGGTTCCAGTGGCAGGTGCTTGCAGAAGCATCACCAGCATGGCTCACGTCTCATTGGTTAAGAACCTTCATCTATTGCTTTTCTGTATTATTTCTGAGTCTTGTTGACCTGCCTCTTCCCTCAGTGCTAACGAATGCAGTTCCAGGATAAAGCCTTGACAAGCTTCAGGCTCTTTAACTGCTAGCAAAAGAAATCCTCCACAAGATTAGGAGAAAACACTTTCCAAAGAAAGCAGATCGTGTTCTGAGTCCTCAAATCATCCCTGAGAAGACCTCCCATGACCTGTGCTGGTCACCCGATCTACTGGGAGGTCCATCTCCTGACAGGCTGTCTCACCCTAAAACGTGGTGCTCTGGGTGATAATGTCCCAAGTGACATACGTTTTGAGGTACAAATGCTTTGAATTCCCTTTAAGTTAAAGGGGGTACTTGGGCTTTCACCCACTCTCCCATGCACAGAGGCAACGCATAAAATGACTGGACAGGCTTCCCAACTTGACAAGAGTTTGAGAGTCTGGTTTCTTCTAAATGAAAATGCTTAGATACACCTGACTTGGATTCAGGTAAACGTCATTCTCTGAAGGCTCTATTGGAGGTAGCTTCTGGGAGGTAGCATCAGGTGAGAGCCAGAACTGAGGGTGATGGAAGGCCATCTAGGCTGAGGGAAGCATGCACAAATATGGGAGCATCTCTGCCGGGGAGGTAGGCGGAACCAGGGCAGAGGATCACGGCCCCAGTCAGCCAGGCTGGAGTTTGAGCTCAGGTGTAGGAAACAGATGAGAACCAAGAACCAACAGGAAAGTGATATCAGCCCTCTGGCCCACGGCTCCCCAGGGAAGGCGCAAACTCAGCTTGGCTCTGTGCTGACCCACTTGATGGAGAGGGGTGGTCCTTGAACCCCCTGAACCCGACAACTGCCGGCTGTGCTCCAAGAACTGTGCCCCCACCAGGACTCCTGTCACTCCCGTGTGGCTTGTCACTGACGTGGCAGTCTCCCGACGAGCCGAGGGCTCTTCAGGGCAAGGATCGTGTCTTTTTCATCCTTGAATCCCTAGTTACTTGGCTGTAGCCTGCACATACTGCTGCTCAGGAAACATTCTAGATAATCGTCTTGTCTGCCTAACTCAAGCTGGCAGGTGCTTAATGGCAGAGACTGGACGTACTCACTTCTCTAAGTCCCGTGCACACCAAGGAATAAAATATTTAATTATTAAAAGCGGCGCAGACCTGAGGTCATTGTCTTGGTCTTTTCGTTTCACAGGCCTGTAGGCCTGATGACTGCTACAGCCATGCAGAAAACTCAATCCACCTTGCCAGAGCAGACGAGAACCCTGGCCTAAAGGCCGGGGTGCTGGTACCTGCTGTGCGACTCCAGTGTAGCTCCTTCACTCTCTGTGCCAGGCCTCTTGTAACATGAAGCTTTGGGTATCCCCCTGCAGCAGGATACTCCGTGGTAACCTCACTTGTCCTCAGAAGCCGGGGTCTAAGGGAGAGACTGGATTACTAGTGGTGGGAGATCCAAGGGCAAACGTGCACCCAAGCAGTGTGTGGGCCCGCAGCGGTGTCGAAGCCAAGGAGAGGGCGCCGCCTGACAGAGCTTCGCCAGCCTTGGGCCCGGGGACTCCACCTCGATCCGCACGGAGCTGGTCTTCGAGCCTCGCCCTCCTCCCCGTGGCGCCCAGGAGCCTAGAAAGGAGTGCCGTTGCTCTGGGCAGGGGGCCCACGCGACGCCAGAGGGACGCAATGAATTCCTGCATGGAGGCTGGGGCGGGCGCGCCCCTCGCAGGGTCCCCGGGCCAGGAGGGACGCTTCCTCCCCGAGCCCCGCCACTCCCCAGCTGCCCAGCGCCGAGAAGCTGCACAGCCGAGCAACCCCGCCCATGCGCCGGCCGGAAGGGCCCGCCTCTGGCCCCGTCCCTTCCGGCGTCGCTCTAGGAGGCGAGGGCCCGGGCCTCTCTGTGGTGCTCCCGGGAGGGCTCCGCCCCTCAGCTGGTTTCCCATTTCAGGCGATCCCCGCTGGCCCACCCGCCCGCTCGCCTTCGGTGCCCGCAGGAAGAGCCGGCTCCCAGCCGGCCGTTTCCGGTGCCGCTCTAGGTGGCGAGGCCCCAGCATCTCGGTGGTGCACCACGGTGGACTCCGCCCCCGAGCCACCTCCTCCCACTCCGCTGGGGTCCCACACGCCCCCTCACGCAGCCACCCTCCCATTAGCTGCACCTCAGTCACCTCTGCGCCCGTTCCCTTACTCTTGTGCCCCCTTCCTCCTGTACTCCATCACTCACTTCAGCCCCCCTCGCTCCCCCCGCACCCCCTTCCTTCTTCTTGTGGCTCCCCCCACTCACCCCAGCCCCCTCCCTCACTCGTGCCCTCCCCGCCAACCACCTGTTTGAGTTCCTTAGAGGCAGCAGGCACGCTGTGGCATGCGTTCAGTTGCACTGGCCACTCCCTCTGCCTGGGACACTTGTCCCCAGCTGTCTGGTTGGCTAACTCCCACTTCCATCTACTGAGAGCTCACCTCCTAGAGGGGACCCCTGACCACTGACTACCCTGTGTGTATTAGTTTCCTGGTTATCACAAGGTTAGCAGCTTAAAACAATACGTGTTTGTTATATCACAGTTCCTGTGGGACAGGAGTCCAACGAGGCTTAGGTGGTCCTCTGCTCAGTCTGGCAAGGCTGCGGTCATGGTGTCCGCGGGCTGTGTTTTCGGCTGGAGGCGAGACTGTGGAAGGATCTGCTTCCACACTCATGTGGTTGTTAGCAGGCTTCCTTTCCTGGTGGCTGTGTGACTGAGGGCCAGCTTTTTCTGGGCTGTTGGGAGGCTGCCCACAGTTCCCTGCCATGTGGCCCTCTTCATGCTCCTTCAGGGTCAGTGGAGAGCCTCTGGCCCGGGTCTGCTGGGGTGGCGTCTCATATGACCTAACGGTAGGAGCAGCCTTCTGTCAGCTCTGCTGTAGTCTGCTGGCTAGGAGCACGTCCTGGGTGCTGCCTGCACTGTTGGGGGTCACATTCTGTAATACCACAGCATTCTGCCTCTTTCTCCACCTTCTGGCCCTCACCCTTCTCTGCATTTTTTTTCATAGCAGTTTCCACTTTCTAACATACTATGTAATTTCCTTATTATTGTGTTTATTATGTCCATCTTCCCTTCCCACGCCAGAAAATCAAGTCTTTGGGGGCGCACGGTTTTGCTTTTCCTGGTGGGGTCTCATTATGTGTGGTGCAACGAATGGGCACTTGACCCTCATGCCACCTAGATACAGCCTTCTCCCACGTATCTCTGTTTCTAGCCCCTGCTGTCCAGCTCTCTCCTGGACTTCACCCTTGCAGGAGCTTTAGATACCTCGATTTCAAAATATTCAAGACCAAACTCAACTCTGCTTCCTTCTTTGTTGCTACTGTCAACTTCAGTAATATAATAATAGCCAGGTATTTTACCAGCAAAAGCAAGTTTATGTGGGAGTAGCCAGAGGAATTGCAATTCAGGAAATGCAAGCTATGGTGGACCATAGGCAAATCTAGAAGGAAGGAAAAGGGGGGAGTTGGGAGGGGCTGGTCCCACAGCACAAGGGATGGGATGCTGGTCCCACACACGCTGGGCATGAGAGCTCCCCCTACAGGCTTGAGAAGTCCCCTTCCCTTGGCCCTCCAGCGACCCGCTGGCCACCCTCTCGCCACCGCTTGCCCTTCCATGAGACCCTAGCAAGTAGTGCACGTTTCTGCAAGGCCTGGGCTTCAGGCCCTGAGCTCCCCTGCACCTGACATACCCTCCCGCCTTCCTGCACCCGACTGACCTGTCCTCCAAGACTCTGCTCAGTTCAGCCCTCAGTGTGTGCTTCTGTCCTACCTTTGCAACTTTATGTGGAGTTGTTCTGCTTGTGCGTCTGTCTCTACACATTACATCCTACCTATGACTCGGATCAGCACCTGCCTTATTCACCTGTGTATCCCCAGGACCCCGAACACGGCCCAGCCCAGAACTGGTGCAGAATCAATATTATTGAGGGACTGATGGCTGGACAGAGAGAATGCGAC